ATCACTGCGCTATGCGGGCGACCTTGGGGGATATAAAATGAAAACAATGAAGAAAACGGTTAGTAAAAAATAAGAAGGGGTCGTTTTAAAGTATTATTCTTACGAACTTCAGGGCAAGAATGAGAAACCATATTTATGAAAGCTTCCTGATATAAGAAAGATTACTTTTTTTCAAATCATGACTAGAGTTTTCCCTTGCAAAGTGATTGTGTATTTTGGGGGGTAGTGTGGATGGAATGGGAATTAAACGGTCTGTTTAACTGTCCATATGTCTGTCTGCCCCTTAAAGTTTTTCCCAGAAGGTCAGGCTATAACATAAAGAAACCAGAAGCTTGTACTCGATACAAAGATTTCAAGTGATCCTAGGATGTGTCATTGTATTTATTTGTTCAAGGCAATATTACGGCAAATTCAAGGTCACTGGAGAAAGAATTAATGTTTTGTTGCATCATTTATATGTAATCGAGAATATCTGTAAGCTCATACTTGATACAGAGATTGCTTGGGACAAAAAGATTTTTTTTACGATTTTGACTCAGAAAACAGTATTTTTTTCATTAAGGTCTTCCGCTCAGGCGGAAGACCTTCTACTGATTCTGATGGTTAAGATTATTCCTATTATTCTTTTTTTTTTCCTAGACGCCAACTTTGAGACATCGTAACTCGCTCATTTCTTAACGGATTTCGCTCAAATTTTCAGAGTTTTTAAACGTTACAAAACTCAATTAGAATGTTTTCAAAAATTTCAAAAATCCTCTTCCGCTTTCGAGTTATTTCCCTTTAAATGAAAATTTGGTACTGTTCGTTTCCAGACAAAGGCTCAGAAATGACAAAAGCTGGAGCAGAAATTCTACTGAATTCAAATACTAGAAGAATTGAAGTTGTGCACATCGCTTTTTCTTTTTCGATTTCTGCCCTCAAAACGGTGCTAGATAGGGGTCAAAAATGAGAATGCCTAAAAGCGCAAAAATTTACATATATTTCCATATGTATCTTTTAAACTAAAAATAATTTGTTAAGACATGTTGAACAAATATTGTGCATAATTTTAAGATCTATCATTTGACATCATTAAAAAGGGGCTGGCCCCTCAAATTAGGGATCTAGGGACCTTGAGAGACCTTGAAAGTTTTTGCTCTATAACTCAAAAACGGTAAATATTTCGATATGGTTATCGATATGAAATGGGTTCTTTAACATCTCATTGATCTCATGAAAACGTTATTTTGTTCTAGTGATGTATTATTAAATGAGCAGAAAACTTTATAATCCATGTACAGGTAAGTGATTTAATTTATACGGCAAGTGAAGAAGAATTCTATGTGCGTATGCGTATAACACGTATATAACTAAAATAAATGTAATAGGGTGGACAAGAATAATATACCTATAGCTAAATTGAATGTTTAACTTTGTTTAAATAAGTTTTTAACGTATTCTCTAGCTGGATGTTATACAGATTATTCAGAGACAACTTTCTCCTTGTGTTTAGTTTAAATAACAAGACGGGGGAGGTAAAAAATACTTATCATCTTTCCTTCGATTAATATTCAATGGAGCATTATCATTATTACAAATGTATTTATAACAAAAAAATAATTCAAGCTTAAGATAATTCACTGTCATTTAATTCATGCATCGTGAATTTTCCGCGGACCCTGACTGTTGTGTGTGTGTACTGTTATGAAAGCAGTTCATCGATCGCACATTCGTGAGGTCAACATTACCGCTCTTTGATTTTCACTCGAGTCCTAGATTTAAAATCAAGAAAATATGTTATTTGCGTTAATCTAGACACAAATATAAAGGTTTTCTTGAACGTGTATGTGTATTCAAAGATAAAATGTGCTGCTTTTCTCTGCTGCTCAGGTATCTGGACGAGTTCATTGGTTACACTGATAGGTGACACAGGATGACCTATCGATAACTGCCAATTTTGATAGTGAATTTAATTGCGCATGTACATAAATTAATGTTAAATTCTACCCTTGTGAAGTCCATTATAGTCTCGTTATTTAAAAAATCGGGGATATCAATACTGCAACTTGTTTTTGATTTGTACGGGTTATTCTATTATTGGAAAGGAACACATGTAGTACGAGAATTTTTTAGGCCCCGTCTCCCCCTCCACTTTGAAGTAATTGCAATCGTTACACGCATACGGGCCTATATCAAGTTATTCTAATTGCTTTATATCAGAAAAATTTGCGATGTTGTTTAAATTAGCAAATACAAATAAACATGGCAAATGCGCACAGTAAGTGGAAGTGATGTTTCCAATTCTCATAAAAATCGAAAATTAAATGAAGCAACTTTGAGTTTTGCATTAATTGATACATAACTTATAATTGTATTGTACATAATGTATTTCTTTTATTTCCTCGAATAAAAAGAATATCACTATGACACGTTTTACGGGTACATGCTTGTAACTAAGTACATGCTGTTTTACACGGAAGAGCGCCTAAAATATATACATTCCGAGCTTTCAGAATACGAGAGAAAAAAATGAATAATTAGAAATTTTTTTAACAAATGCAAAATTGTTTCTGAGAAAGCCATGTAGTTGCATACAAATATTCCAAGCCATTCTTTCGTGTTTATTGGACTGAAAGAGATTATTTAAAAATTTCCTCTCATCGCGATACGTAACCCCCTTCCCTCAAATGATATGTACAATGTTTTCCTTCAGAGTCGAGAATGTTAACTGGTTAGTTTGTTCAGGTACGTACAGGTGTTGAAATCCATGATTAATCCATAACCTATTATAATGTTAACCAATAATCATACGCGACATTTTTTTTATTCGCAGGTTAACAAATAAATGAAAAAAAGATTAGTATGCGTCACTAAACTTTCATATATATAAACGTTTTAATTTCTAAAACTTGTGCCGATTAGAGTGTTCAATCGAGCATCGAAATGTGTACATGTACTACATGTATTAGTTTCTTTGGGTAAGTGTAGGTACCAGTTTTTGCTGCATTTGATTTCCGGAATTTTGCATTGCATTTCCGACAATTAATAATGTCATTTCTAACATTCTTTATTTTCATTCTGGATTTTTACACTATATTTCTAGCAATTTAAAGTTAACAAAGAAGATGGAATCATTATTTTAATAGAATATATTTAGTTAAAGTAACACAAGTTAACTTTTGATGAAAATTTATTAAACGCAAGTCAAGCAATAAAAAGTTAAAGTTTGTATTTTGAAAAATAAATCAAATCAAGTCACAGAAAACAAAGACATGTTGTAAAGCTCACACACAGACATACACACAAACGTATTGGTAACTCGGAATAGTCCAGAGTAAAACTATATTTTCTTGATGATGGAATGTCCAGTACATCTAATGTTCACGTCCGGGATAGTCCACGGCGGATCTAAAAACTGACTCTCTCACACAACATACGGGATTCACTCAAATTTCAATTAACACATTTATCGTGCCACACCTGCTGTGACACGGGGCCTCGGTTTATACGGTCTCATCCGAAGGACCGATAAATACTCAGTGACAAATTCCTTTTTACTATTTAAACTCAAATTCATCGGTAAATAATTTAAGCATATGTCAAAAATAAGCATTTAAAATAATTCTTTTCATAAAATTAAATTCTGTTTAAACAATATAAAGCACTAGCAGCGCAAAGACGGACTTCAAAAAAAAATCAGAGGTGGAATCAGGCGAATTTAATCCTTTTATGACACCACCTACCCCGTAACGAGACAGTTGTGTATATGTTCTCATCGAAATGACCGGTCTCCGCGTCTTGAACCTCTAACGTACATGTTTTGCATGTACTTGAATAATATGTATTAATAAGTCTTTCAGGAAATCTCATGTAGGAAACCTGATTTATATTCTAATATTTTCTAATTTTTTTAATTATTATTCGTATTTCTCAATTTATCATGTTCGAATTACATGTATTTATTTTTTTTAGGGAACATTAAACCTTATTCGTCAGCAAGTCTGTCCATCTCTCACGAGAACTTTAAACTTGATAATAACTATTGAATGAGTTGAAATAAGACTTTGATATTTCACATGTGCATTATTTGTGACATCTGATTTTCAAATATACTGTGATTTTTGACCCTGTGACCTTGATCTTGGAGCTTGACCTACTTGCAAAATAACATTATTACTTTAAATTGACCTAACTTTTGAAAGCTTCCATTTTATAAAAATGTATTAATTGTGTCAATACCTTTCAAAACTCACTGATTTTTTACCCTTTGAGCTTGAAGTTTGACCTGCTTTTCAAAAACATTAACAATACTCATACCTTTTGAATGAGAAGAGATAGGGCTTTTATTTTATCCCTGTGTATTACTTAAGACAACTCTTTTCTAAATACACTGACTTTTGACAACTTGACCTTGAGGCTTGATCATAACTTTTTAATGAGAAGAGATAAGGCTTTCATATTACACAAACATCACATAATTATACGTAACCTGTGATAAAATCATTTCAAATACTAGTCTATCATGAACTCTGACCTTGAAGTTTATCCGGCTTTTCCAAAATTTAAAAATTGCTTATAATTGACCATAACTTTTTACACATGTATATTAGCTGTGACAAGGCCTATCTAAATAAAAGGTATGGCTTAAATCATGCAGAGTGTGTTATGGCCTTAAATCAAGGTCATTTATGATAAGGTATTTTGGCTGGATGCATTGTTTGAAAAAACATGTGTGAATTTGTCAATACGGTAGCACACAAATGGGATATGCTCATCACCAGCGTGTGTCATAGTGTGACCCAAGGTCATTCCGACAAGGTCAAGGTCGCAAACATTCCTTTACTATCCTTTTTATAATAGTAAAACATAATAAGATGATATCTACCCTTAAAAGATTGCTTTAAAATTAGAACGTGGCATGACCTTGACTCAAGGTCATTTCTCTCTGTCCGCAGCTCCGACGGAAGACCTACTCGTTGCTTTGCAACGAGCTCGGCTCTAGTTAAAAGTTATAATCATACCTGTGTTACACTCGGACCCCGACCAACCAGGGCTACATTTACATGAGTAACCTCCCCTCTCATTGATACACACTCCATTTTGACCACATATTGATTTCTTGACCTGACACTCGTTAATATCTGTTAAAAGAAATTTTGCTGTATGTTAAGAAATGTATGTCAATTATACAAATGATTTATTATAATCTGGAGAACATATCGCCCCCAACTCTTTAACAATGTATCAAAATTAAACTATGATACATATATTGAACAAACAAAATAAAATTTAAGTTAATTTTCAGTCACTTTGTCAACGACTTATACTTTTTGTCATTGTTAATTAACTGTCGATATTTTGCTTTTTTCCCTCGCTCTCAAATGAAAGATCCACAATTTTTTAATTCGAATTTGTTTTCTTTTATTTGATTCATATACCAAATTAATTAATGCTGCAAAATTAGTTGTCATTAAAAATTAATATTCTTTTTTTTCAAAGAAGATTGTCTGTATCTCTGCAAAGAATACGTGCCTACTTCACATTTTAACCCCGTCCAGCCTTTTTTGCACGTACACCGATACGTGCCAGGTGTATTTTCACAGACTTCGTTCCTACTGCATGGCATGTTCTTACATTCGTCTATATCTGTGAATGAGATTTTGTCATCAAGAATTGTTTTCAATGTTATTGGAAATCAGAAGAAAGTACTTAGTATAACGGTTACATTTATATCAAATATTCTTTTATTTCATTGATCTAGAATTTGTATCGATTTTTGATGGTTTATATTTTGAATAATTCAAGAGGGGGTCGTATGTTGAAAATTTACATCTTTTTTTAGACTTCAGTATTTAAAAAGAAAGATATGAATTTGGGAGTCAAGCAAAAATGCATGTAAGAAAAATAGTTTTGATTTGCTAGAAAAGTCCTTGAAAACTTGTTTATCAGTTAGACATTCTGTCAACTCATTTTTTAGTATAGCACTTTATTTTAGTTTTCAGTGTCCTTAAGGAACTTTTTGATGAATACATGTGTTTCGTATTCAGGGAAGCGACAAAACATTTCTTAATATTCATCTTTAATTTTACATGTCTTATTTGAAAATATTTCGTGAACAATAATAGACTATATTTAAGAAATAAAGTCTGCGTTTTCGTAATTGTTGCAGGATAACCTCCGAGGTGTTTTAAAGATAAAAGCCGAGGCGTTATAAATTGTCTTTATCAACTAAAATTCAAAAGCGGCAAAACTATATCCCTTTTTTCTCTTTTTTAATGGAAAACAATGTTTTAGAAATTGTGAATGTTTGCATAGGATACGTGCCTACTTCACATTTTAACCCCGTCCAGCCTTTCTTGCACGTACACCGATACGTCCCAGGAGTATTTTCACAGACTTCGTTCCTACTACATGGCATGTTCTTACATTCGTCTATATCTGCAAATGAGATTTTGTCATCAAGAATTGTTTTTAAGATTATCAAAAATCAGAAGAAAGTACATGAGTTACATTTATATTAAAGCTTCTTTAATTTCATTGATCTAAAACGTTTCTGAGGACTAATAAATACGTAGATAAAATGTTAATATTGTTTATATTTAACTCATTGTCTATCTCTTTAAAGGATGTACATATTTTTATTAAAGAATATTGCTTTTATTTTATATTCAATGATTCGGATGAAATTATGAATTACTTTTAATTCAAAGTGCCATCAATATAGAGATTTTTCTTCTTCCCCTTTTTAAAGGGAAAACAGTCTTTAAGAATGTGTGTTTTTGCATGCAGTACGTGCCTTCTTCACATTTTAACCCCGTCCAGCCTTTCTTGCACGTACACCGATACGTCCCAGGAGTATTTTCACAGACTTCGTTCCTGCTACAGGGAATGCTCGTACATTCGTCTGTATCTGCAATTAGAATTTTTGTAATGAAGAATTGTTTTCAAGGTTATTTAAAATCAGAGGAAAGTACAAGTTACATTTATATCAAAGCTTCTTTTATTTCATTGATCTAAAACTTGCATTAATTTGTAACGTATAATATCTTGAATAAATTCAGAAGGGAGGTTGGGGGTATTTAAATCTTTACATGTTTTTTTTAAACTTCAGTATTTATGAAAAGTAATAAATTTGGGAGTCGTGCAAAAATTAGAAGAATAAGTTTGGTTTGCTTGGTTTTTTTTTTGGGGGGGGGTGTTCATCAGTTATAAAACCTTTCTACTTAGTTTTTAAGTATGAAATATTATTTTCAGTTTTCTGCGTTCTTAATGAACATTTTAATGAATACAGATGTTTCGTATTCCAGAAAGACAAACCATTTATTAATATTCATTCTTAGTCGTACATGCTTAAGATTAAGAGGAAAAAAATATATTACTGAAACAACAATTTGGATATATTCCTTCATCAACAACGGAATATATTTCTTAAACAACAGTTGAATATATTTTTAAATCATCAATGGATAGTTTTTCTTAATCAACAATGAAATATATTTCTTAATCACCAACGAAAAATACTTCTTAATCAACATCTTTATATATCATCAATGTTGTTTAATGTTATGGGGTTTTTCTGTTGACAAAAAATATTATATTTTAAACAAAATCTAATTTAGAATTTGTCCTTTGAAACTACGAAAAGCTCTACCAAATTGTATGCAAGGATATCAGAAAAACCACAAGTAAAATTTATTTCTCACAATATCTATTCAGATTTAGCTTATTGTGTTATGTAGAAAAAATTGTCTCTTTCTAATAATGTTTAAAAGCAGCAACACGATATCCCATTTAACGGACTACAAAAATAACAAACAACCTTCTGAAAGCAGCGTAAAATTCATAAGAAATAGAATAATGTCAAATTTACCAATTTCGCATGATGGACCACTCCAACCTTTCTTGCATCTGCATTCATAACTTCCAACACTGTTGGAGCAGACAGAATTTTGGGGGCATACGTTGCTTTTACATTCATCTATATCTGTAGAGATTAAACATTTTTAACATTTTGCAGGTTTCAAGATAAAGGTATATAAAGCACGAATTTATTGAAGGTATCCGTATTCCAGAAAAGGGATTTAAATGGAGCGTGGTTAGTTCTAACTTGAGATGTGTACACAATAACATTATGAAATAAGAATATCTTACAGCACTGAACCAAAGTCATCCCTCTAACTTTTTCTTTAATGCTGATAGATTGTTTCATAATTTAACCTAATTACTGAGATATATGGAGCCAAACTCCATTCATCTTTTTATTTATAATATCTGGAACCTTAGTAAATTCATAATGCTAACAGACTTATATTACAACATTTATTACATTTTAAAAACATTTATTGCAATTTAAAAGCATTTATTATATTTAAAAAAACATTTATTACATTTTAAAAACATTATTTACATTTTAAAAACATTCATTACATCAAGCCATTATCACAGTACGACTAACTTACCTTGATCACAGGTAGGTCCTGTCCATCCCGGGGACGTCATGCAATCACAATAGAAGGTGCCCACTGTGTTAACACATGATCCGCGCTTACAGAAATCTGATGTTTTACATTCATCCGTGTCTAAAGATTAACACGCAACATTTAACATAGATATATAGCATACTAAAAACAAAATTCTGAAATTGTATCTGTTTATTTAGATGAAGTATCAGCAATGAGTTAAAAAGTATGAAGTATTTCCCTTTTTTGCAGAAGAAAGAAAGATGATTTACTAAAACAGAAATTTATTTATTAGACTGACCCACTCGATAAAAAATGTCAATTGTTCCTTCGCTAAGCGCTCAGCACTTGGAAGTCTTGTAGATTAAACCTTACAACGGAGACCACTTTTCACAGCATTACTAGGCAGGACAAAGAATCATAAATGCCTTAAGGCCTTTAGAACCAAGTAAAGGCCTGTATTTAAAGCCTTACAAAGGCAACAACATTATGATGACAACTCCATATGATCAGTGAGCCCTTAACTGGTGTATGGTGATGACGGCTCTTTTTTGAGTGAAAACATTCTCGGGTGGGACGTGCAAACACAATCATTATCTCCTCACCTTTTTCACAATGTTTCCCTTCATATCCCGAAAAACAGTCACAGGTGTAGGAGAGATTATTATCAATGCAGGTTCCATTCCCATTGCAGGTGCTTTCTGTACACATCAATGCTGATAAGATGATAAGAGTTAATTTAGAATTAGTTTTATTTTCCCAAATCATTTAATTTTGGGGTTCTTTTTCTTAATTCTGATAAATTTATATCACATTATATATGAAAAATGCTTTATTAAAAATAAAACAATACACTGTATATATACGAAATTTAGAATGCCTATTAATTTTAAAAAAAATTCATTAAATGAAATGAAATTAATACATGTAATGCTTTCACAAAAGTATTTTATTTATTTATTTTTTTTTTTTTTTAAATCGGTAAAGGTCATATCACTATCCTTGTTCTTCTTAAAAGTAAAAAACAAATCTACTAGAATACAATAAATCTGGAAATTAAGCTTTAAAAAATGGGTATATACCTATTCCATGCATAACGGCATACCTTGGTCATTTACTACTATTCTTGCACTGTAGGTGGTCATAAATGGATCATTAGCCTCACACACATAGACCCCACTATCTTGTTGAAGTATGGCCGTAAACACAACTAGGGTATTGTCTTCCAAAAAATAATATCTGTTGGTATTAGAAGTAAGAAAAGGCATTCCATCTTTGGTCCATGAGATGTCCACTCCATTTTCCAACGTGGGTATTTTACAACGTAACTCGAATCTACTATGTTGCAATGTTTCCAGAACTTCGATGAATTGCTCTGCAATAATGGACCACAACAGCAAAATCAATCATTTTGAGATGTAATTGTTTCGTTTCTTTTGTCAGAGGTATTCAAGCACGATTATAAATTATATATTATTTTTTACTACATAGAAAATATTCTTACCCCTAAAATTACTATAAAAAATGTACATATTTATTCTATGCATTTCCTAGCTGTATATATTGCTGAGTTGTTTTTAAGATTATATCAATCATTAAGCTACTCTTAGCCATGTTTCTGCTCTATTATCACCCAGAAGGAAAGGTATGGGGTTTTAATTATATTTAAGAATATACATAGCTTATTAGTTTTCGTTGTTAAACTTTCTTATATGAGGTCACTTCGTTAAGGTAGTTATTGATAATCCTATATGTTGTCTTTTTAGATAAACACTAATAATTACAATGATCCCTGTAGACATATGATTTTTTTTATACTTACTGTAGATGTATTTTTTCCATCTACAGTCATTTTTATGTCATGATTTTTATATGTGCACTGGTTAAGCAAAAAGCCTGTATTTACCATGAATACAGTAGGTTTGAGTGATTGCGATACTGATCAAATCATAGTTTAAATTTAATAATTTTTGTACCTTCTGTCATTAAACTTGAAAATTAGTACATATTAGTATTTTAGTAATTTTATAATATGTAGAATTATACTTTAAACTCGTAATTAGTAAGAAACTGAGGTCCTTTAAGTTTAATGATTTATGACTTTTTATTTATAACTGTTGTGTAATTAGCCATGGTTAATACTAATCATATCTGCAATCTTTTATATTTATATATATATGAATTAACATACCTATAATCGGTCTCTTAATATAGATATAGATATGTTGTAGGTTTGGTTTTTAATATACCTGTAGTTGTTGCTAAGGTGGTTGGTATAGTAGTTGAAGTGGTTGGTGGACGTGTTGTTATGGGATTGCCTTCTTTTGCTGAAAAAAAAAACACAGATTCTAAAAGTGTTATTTTTTACTTAAATATATATGAGAGAAATGTTTGTTTATTTTTAATTTAACTATCACACTACTGAGAAAAATTGTGGAATAATTTGATTAAAATCTCAAAACTAAGACAACTGTTGAAGGAAAAAATTAGAATACATGTATATAATTGCTATTCCAAATTCATATCCCTTGTTCTAAAAAGAAAGCTTGTATGTTTTTTGTTCAAAAGGTATGTACAAATTATCCTTCTCTTTTTCTCCTCGTGGAATCAAACCAGCCCTTTAGTTTTTCTCCCACCGTCATTATGAAAAGGTCAAAAGTTTATGCCACATTGATGAATAGTTTTTATAACCCTCTCCATATTTGTAAACAAGTAATAACATGTAATATAGAAAACAATAAATTTTGAAAACTGTGACACAACAAAGACATTTATATATGAAAAAATAAGACATTGAACTCTTCTCTACATTAAGTCAATGCAAGGTTAATTTTTTAAAACTTTTTATCTTAAAAATATCAAAGATTTTGAATAAAATTAATTTGTTAAAAGAGACATTATAATAAATCAGATGTAATACATCGGTGCCAGTGAAACACATACACTTAACATTGCATCGTATGCCACTTAATTAAATCATGCTAAGGTCTTGTCACAGTCAGGACCAAACTAACAGCTGTTACATGGCATGGCTGGTAATAAAAGAGTAAGTCTTCATTAAATAACCGTCACTCACACCGATTTAACTTATTCTAATTAATGTGAAACACATAGTGTTCCTGCTAGGACTTGAAATGCTTCTACTAGACATTTAAGGCCATTGTGGATTACTATTAGCTCTAATATGTGACAGTTATTGTCTTTGATGGGAAACCACTCTTAGCGATCAAGATTTTTAAAGAATTTAATTTAGAAATTTAAATCATTTGAGTATTTTTGTTTTCTAAAATCATGAAAAAGCATTCAACAATTGTTTGAAATTCATAATGAAAAATTGTAATACTTGTAAAAAAAAAATGTTTATTTCTTGCTTAACTGAAGACCTTTAAAATTCCAAAAATCTGCTCTTTATTGACTGAATTGTTAATGCATATAGTCACGTTATCTAAATTAAAAGATTTTTGGGGGGAGGGGGGTAATTATAAAAATCAGCAATTGAAATCTCTCCTAATTTTAACTAAGATTTATTAATTAAACTCTTTAAATACTGTGGAGTCATTTAAATCTAAAATTAAACCTACGTGTATTACTAAAATTCAACAAATTCATGGTGTCACAATACCAAGCAGTCAATTAACAAAAGAGAAAATAACTCTGAAACTCTACTTTATTAATTCGTGATGGCCGGATGTTAATTTGTGGGAGACATCCTGGAATTTCACGAAGAATCTAATGATTCGACAATATTAAAGCTTAGCTACACAGACAAATATCTTCATTGTACGTTTATAGATATTCAATCATACACTCAGTTGTATTGCACAATAATTATAATATGCTAAGACGGTGAAACGAAAAAAATATCTCTGCCTTGACATTGAAAAATTATTTTAGAATGAGGACACAAAATGTCACACTTTTCTTGTCAGAAGAAATAGATTAATGTTTAACAAAATGTATTGACATTTTTATTCAGATATGAATGAATCATTTCTGCATGGAATTATGAATGAGACATGAATTAAAGAAATCGTCCTTTGCTGTGTGGTTATACTAAAGAAAAATTTGCTTTGGAAGAAAATTTTGGAACGTTGATTTACATGAACGAGGGCTATTCAATAAATAATGTCCTCAGTGCTAAGCAAAAGACGCTTTTCAATGATTTAGTCTTCATGATTTTACTTATTAATCTCTTTTAATTAAAACACATGTCCGTAACATTTTTTATCCAATTTCTGATTGTTTTTAGAACTCATTTTTGGGTATGACCCTTAGTATACTGGAAAATGGCAGATCCACTGATTTCCTGGACTTGTTTCTTCCTTCTGAAAGGTGTTTTGTTTCAAGTTTGGAAATAGAAACAAGTCAAAAGGTCAAAGATCTGGCGAATATTGTTAATGTGAAAAAACATTAACTTTCTGTTTATCCCGAAAACCCCGTTACTCTTCAGGGTGCGAGTTTGGACGCTGTCATGAAGAAACTCAGTGTAGTGGATTCCTTATTCTTTGTCCTTCCTCTAATAAAACTTTCGATTTTAAAAAAAAATGCTTTCTAGACTCCTCCACATATTAAACTGTCTCCCTGAATACGAATTTAAACAACAATACAACTAAAATTTAAGAAAATTGCATATAAATCTGTCTTTGTGCTCTTGCATTCCTTTGCTCTTGTCAGACCTTCGCCGTTTTTATCAAGTGCATCTTATGGTACATTTTGTTTTGATAGTTTTAAGCAATAGATTCATATTCCAATATCTGTTTGAATGTGAAACAAACGTGGATAACTACAATTACTGATATTTTAGAATAATTGTTACGAATTTCGTACAAGCTGTCGTTTTCACTCATTTTTCAAAATATAGGGTGACCTTTGAGTACCAATCTTTTTTACTGTCAAAAGTTTCTTAAAAATAGTGTAAACTAATCCCGATATGATGTCTTTCAAATTTGCTATGTGTCTTAAAGTCAATCAAATAACATCCAAATATTATTTGTTGAAATTTGGCAAACAGTACATAAGTTGTTAGTATTTCTGTTGGCAAGGAGGGTACCCATTTTTGACGCCCATTATATAATTTTTCATCATTGAAATCCACCTGCTCATTTGTCTATAAAACAGGCACTGGTTGCTGTAAGTGTCACATATTTCAGTGAGTATTTCTCTGGGATTTTTAACAAGTTTTACAGCAGCTTTAATGAAGCTTTTATTTTATATATTGGTATCCAATGAAATGTCTTGCCACAAAGAATACATATGTGAAGTATGGAAGCCCAAGTCCTAACCCTTCAGAAGTTATAGCCAAGGTTAAAAGTTTTAAAAAGTAGGCCAAGGTCCAAATTCTTCATTTCAAATAAAAGGTCTTGTCACAAGGACTAAGTATGAAAGCACTAGTCCTAACCCTTCAAAATAAGATGGTCAAGGTTTGTTTTTTAAAAGTAATTCAAACTCCAGGGTCAAGGTGAAAGGGTCAAAGTTCTTGATATCCAATAAATGGTCTTCTCACAAGGATTACATTTGTGAAGTATTAGAGCATTAGCTCTTAGTGTTCAAAAGTTATGGCCAAGGTTAAAATTTTTTCACGAGTATGGAAATCTCCAAGGTCAAAAGGTCAAGGTAGTTGGTATCCAATGAAAGGTCTTGCCACAAAGAATAAGTGATGTACTCGTACAAAAGTCCAGGTTTGTACCATAGTAAACGTTTGGTGTTTTCGGGTAAAAGTAGGTCAAACGCCAAGGTCAAGGTCAAAAGGTCAAATTTAGTGGTACCCTACAAAAGGTCTTGTCACAAGAAATACACATGTGAAATATGAAAGTCATAGCTCCACTGAATCAAAAGTTATGGGCAAGGTTAAAGTTTTTGCGGACAGCTAGACAGACAGACAGGCAGACAGATGGACATGACAAAAACTATATACCCCCGAAACTTCGTTCACGGGAGCATAAAAACCTAGAAATTAAATTGATAATAATTTTCAAGACACAAACTCAAATGATATTTATGTTTGCATTCTGCTTAAATATGCATCGAGCAATACACGATGCACATGAGTTTTCCTTTCCACTATAAAAGGTAACCTTACATTAAAAGTGATAGACTAATTGTTCTCTCACTGATTCGGCAGCTACTTAAAAATAAATAAAAATTACTTCTTATTTTCACATATATTTTAACATGTTCATTTTGTTATAAAAGATTCTAAATTGCAGTCAAATCATAATCGCTTTTGAATAAAATATTAAATATATTTGGTATTTCTTTTTTTGATCGTTATATACATGTACTTAACTTAGATTTTTCACATTTTTCACCATAAGATTTTAGGCAAACCTTACTTTTAAACTTTTAAACTACCCCGTTTCTGTTAGCAAACTTAAGGTCTAAAAATAGCCACAGAGAATGTTTTAACCCTGTGTGCACCATGTTTGTTTCAACACATCGTCTATAAACTAAGAAGTTTTTTTAAAACAATTCTTCTAAAAATGTTTTTTTTTCTTTTTGTGGATTTTTTAAAATAGAAATATGTTTTAAGTAATTAAGGTGTATAAATACACTTTGGTAGTAATTAGCTCTTTATGAAATAGAGGTATGATTTAAAAATATCAGTTCATATCTTTATGAACAATACCACGAAAATAGATAAATTCTAAGCGCATTTTTTTTAACACAGAGGCATTCCTTTTACAAAGCGTCTTGCACAAAATTGAAAGTCATGGGTTTGGTTGAAATCTATAAAATGAGACCCCATGTTTGGTAATTGTTGGCGCGATAAAGCCCTCGCTATGACCGAAAGTTCCATGCATTGGTCAAATTTTGTGAGAAGTCACTTTTTAAAAACTATAAATTGTTTGAACAATCTATATAATTTTTAATCTTATGGACTTTTATTTAAAATATAAATTTTGTTAATAAAACTTTGGATCATCTCACATGATTTCTAAAAAGTAAACCTTGAGAATAAGGTTATCTTATATGACGCATATAGTGAAAACACAAAAAAAAACTTTCTTATTTAGAACGTACGGCTTAAAAACTGGTAGCTTATAAAAACGATTCAAATGTGTATAATTTCCTTCATTTCAATGACAAGGTGCACTTAGTTCTTTGCGCGCATGTTTCAAGTATATGTTGTTTTGATGCAGTATCGTAGACTGTGCGTTTACTTCAACTTAAGCACCAGACTGACACATTGTGTAATTTCATTCATCACGTTTTTCCTATAATTCATTGTCTTACGTTATTTGTTAAGGATAATTTTCAGAATGCCTGGACAATTTTCATTTGTGGTGATGTTAAGCTAGTGTGAAGGACATTGAAGAGTGTCAATTCTTTTCATATTACTCTTTGTGGTTATTTAGAGAAATGCACCTCATGGCGCAGTGTCATCTGGGAAGAAAAATGACCTCTCCATAAAAAAGATTTAAATATTCAACTTCATTATTTTTTATTTCGGTGTTTTAAAAGAAGCCCCATAAAATCAATTTGTAGAATTTTACAGACATCTCTTTGATCCAATTTTTTTTTTTCGTTATTTTGATTGTGCTCAATAACGGCAATGATCATTTTATACTTAATGTATTATTTCAATACTCTTACAGTGAAATATATGGAGAAAACTAACAGTATTCAAGGTAAAAGTTCACTCAAACAATACTAATCAGGAGCAGAGCAAACACGGACCTCTAAAGCATCAGATGTGGGATCAGGTGCCATGGAGAAGTAGGCATCCCGTGTAGACCAATAACACCCCATTTCCCCTGTGCACTATAATAGACGATATTCCTTTTTGTACTGAACACGTATAAGTATATGAAGATTACTTTGCCAAACCTTTCTTAAACAATCTAAACAAAACGGGATATAATACTCTCTTCAAAATAAACTACTGAGAATTAACATTACTGAGATAGAAAGTAGTCTGATTTAAAACAAACTCGCAGTAATATACCTTGAACCGTTGCCAGAAAGCCACGAAATGGACCCATGGCGTCCGTTGTAAACTGAAGCGTTAGAGTCGTTCCAACACTCTCATAAATCTTGTCATGTTGAAAGTTCTGTAGAGAACACATTGAAGCTAATCTGTTCTTAAGGGTTACTTCGGCTCCTGGAGAGAAAAAAATATTATGCTTCATGTACATACCATTAAAAGATAGATGACTTTTTTAATTCAAATGCAATGATATTTAATTAATCTTCTTCTAAAGCTTCTGAAATCGGTGCAGACTTTTATTCTTTTGATTTCACATTAACCTTTCACCTTAACAATTTTCATTTATTTAACTTACACATCACAATAAGTTATGAAAAACTCAACCTCTTTGTGTAATATTTTGATAAGCCATATTTTAATTAAATTTAAAAATGTTAGAAATTTGGGTATAAAATTTTTTTAATTTATTTTGCTTGAATTGATTATTCATTTCGTAATATTCAGAAAACAAAGATAAAGTTTGGGATAATTTTGTGTAATTAATAACAAAATACCTTGATAGATGTTGATAACATCACAACAAGAATTTTCACACTGTTCATGTACTTCAACATCAATATACTGGAATTGCACAATCACGCCTGTTGGAGACGTTAGCTCATATCTACAGTCCAGGCCGCTGTAAAAAATACATATTACCATTAGAATTCTTCACCAAACTGAAACCAGACAGGATTAATTCTTAAACAGAAAAAGAGATACTCACGTTTCATATAAGTCAGGAAAGTTTGGAGACGCTATCTGTAGTTTCTCTGACGTCACTTGAATCGGCTTGTAGTCAAGCGGGCAGTAATCTGAAGATGATAATTTGAAAAAATACAAAATTATAAATAATTTGGGAGACGTAAATTAATATTACAGGGGTTTCAACGATCTCATTTAATTTAATATTTCATAAATTCTTATAATAGAAATTCTTATGATGACCTCCTCAGGAAATACAGCATATCAATGGATTATATCTTGACTGACGTATCTCATATTAATTCTAAAGTTTTTATTTTTATTCTACCTTTGATTATGAATTTTTCCGTTTGATTCATTGATAGAGTGGAAATGACAGGTGGACAGTTGATGCTTACTTTTCCTAATGACGGCGCACGATTAGTACCCATTGGAATTGCAAAATTAGAATATTTGTATTGATTGCCTTAATATTTTTTCAGATCGATTCCCTCTTCGTTAAGTCAAACCTTTTAATTTTTCTCAAAGAAAGATATTTTCAATCCTTTAATTTCAATATAAGATTCTAATTTAAATAATAGATCAGGCAATTTTTTGATAAATCATGGTGTAAACATATGGAAATTGTTTATCTGTCTCTTCCATATCTGATTCGACATAAAGGTTGTGTCTAATACTCCATCAAAGAAATGTCCAGTCAACAGAAATATTATCTTTACCATGATGCTTAGAGGCAACCAAAGTCACTTCAAATCCCTTTTCATAGTCATGTGTTGTTCCATCAGAATTGAAATCTATTTTTAGACTTCTCCCGGGCGTTACAGCTACAGGCCTTGTTGCTGGACCAGTCGTTAAACAATTAGAACAACAAATTTTTTCTTTGTTTGAAGTCTCTTGAAGGAAGAAAAATATATCAATATTCTGAGAATTGGTGTTAATATCATGCAATGACAATAAAAAAATTTGTCATTTTTCAGATATGTTATCATGTTTACGAGATCTATAAATAGCATTTAAATCATGTGTATTTACAAATACATTACGGAATTAATCATATTCGTAATATGTTTCCTAATGAATAAGATAATCAATTAAATTTGATGGTTAAAATTAATCTTGGAAAAAGTTTTAGCTTGAGAAACATTCGACTCACCACCAGCAGGATAAACTTCTAACCTGTCGTCACAATGGACGCTAACTTGGGAAATTTGATAAACTATTCGCATATCTGGTTTTTCGGCAACGAATTTCCATTCACAAAAAAGAAATCTACATAAAACGATTACAAAAATTATTTATATTAAGGATTTAAGATTTAAAAAAAAAACAACAAGAAAACAGATATTAAGTAAAAAGATTTGATGTAAAATGAGTTTGAATGTTAATACTATAAAATCACATATTTTTCGTGGGATCAAAGAAAGAGGGCGTATAAGGCGTGTACAACCCCCCAATCTGAGACAAAATGTTTCTCAATTTTCAAAATTCACAGAAAAGTTATATTTTTCTAATCATGTTCTCAATAATGTCCTCTTCAAAATATTTTAATATTCTATTTTACTGAACGGCTTATCATTTGATAATCTTTATTTCAAAGTTGACAGTTCAGCATATTTAGTGGAAAATGGGTTTAACAGAGCTATAAAAAACGAATTTTGAACATGAATGGGTCAAGTTTCCATTTTTCGTGAACGCTTAAATGATGGAAACGTAATTGTGAAATCTATTTCATTTATCCAAAAAATGGAATCTTCACCCATTCTATACGAAAATCGAACTTTTCTGAAAAAATTACGCTTCAACAAACCCGTTCATTTAAATCACACTGAAAGACGTCAATAATGCATATACTTCGTAACGTAGTGGTTAAAGCGGTTGGTCGTGGACCAAACCTGCGCTATGGAGAGAGTTCGAATCATACCTGAAACTTTTTCTTTTTTGTTTTCAAATGTCTAAAAAAAAAAAAAATGAGTGAAAAATAAATTATTAATAAATTATTTAAACAACGAAGTACAGAATTTGATGTGTAAAAGATGATATAAACCATAAAATTTGGAAAAAAAAACTACTTTTAAAATTGAGAAATGTCTTTTTTCAGAGCGGGGGATTGTCCTCGCCTTGTACGCCTCCATTCTTTCGTGGTTTGAGTAAAAACTCTTGGTCGGTGGGGATTTGAATTCGTGGATGAGGAATTGTGGAGTAGTTATGTATGTACCATTTTAAATTTCATGGTGGACATGAATTCGTGGGTCTCTTCATAACTCGAGAACAATGAAAATTAAACCCACACGAAAATTTGTGATTACATAGTATATAATTCGAATATACATATAATGTCACACTTTTTTATCATTTTTAGAAACTTTGATCTTTAAATCTAATAAAAACTTGATCAGTATCCACTGAAGACAAGCGTCAGGATTTAGAGGCATTAACTTACTTTTCATATGTGGTTTGGTTAACTGGAGGGAATCGAACAGTTATCTTCTCAATACCCACAGGTATTACTTTCTCTTCTTCACACTGGGATAAAGCTAAAAAGAAAATTACCTATGCTATGTTTAGCAAAATAAGATATATATGGATATAAAGAACAATATTCAAGCTCAAATGTCAATTAAACAATACAAAATAGGAACGGTGCAAGCACGGACCTCCAAAACATCAAAGCTGGGATCAGATGTATATGCAGTAAAATTTGACTCTTTCTATTCTAAACGTGCCGTTTTATTGGAGAATATTTAGAAGAATTCACATTTGGAAAAAGAAATACAATGTGAAACTGGTAAACCACATTTTGTGAAGGTGGGGTGGGGTGTAAAAAATTTTAACTACTTATGGTAAGAACACACCATCGAATCTTATGTTCTGCACGAAACGTAAAATTTCAAAGGCATTACAATCTAAGATTTCTTTGACTAAAATGTTGATCAAGGTCATTTTTTTCTTCGATCCACAAAACATTTTCCCAACAAAAATTCGTAATTTTACATTATATCTGGCGCAATCAAATGTTTATACTTGTGTTCTAATTGAAAGACAAAACAAAGTAGCAAGATAATGAATGCCAAAAATTTTAAGAAGCTAAATAAACTTGTGTCAGCATGTGAGTTAATTTTTCAACATATAAATACTAATTATGCTTGTCAGGGCTTAATAGATTCAGTTAATTATTACTTACATATTATTATGAAACAAGGAGAAAGATTTGACACACACGAACAGCTAATTGAGTGTCATTTATAAAACTGACGATTTTAAAATGAAAATCAAATACATTGTGTTCTATTTTTATTGAATAACGAGTGCTACTTTGGTTGTAAACATTGCTACTTCTTCATGTCGTAGAAAAATCACTTTACGGAGATCATGAACAGTAATTTTTGCATTTTTAAATGCAAAAGAAGGGTTGATGATAATAACTTTATTTTGTAAACCAATAGATAATTTGAAAATCACATTGCAAAGAAAACAAAACCTTGGATATATTGATTTCTTCAGAAATAGTTTCTGCAGAAAGACTGAGATGATTTAGTTTAATTTGCCATAAAATCCTGTAGTCATTTTATGCGTATATGACTTAAAATAATTTGTAAAGTGTCATATCAATTATGTAAAACAACATAATATCTTGGGGTATTTAAACATCTGTCACGTGACCCTCATTATTTGTACATTAAAATAGTTCAGTAGGCTAGTTTAAAACAATTTCGGATGACATAACTTTGATATATCAGAAGTTAATGCACAGTTGCAATGTAAATGGGTCACAAAGAATTTTCCATAGATATGGAGGTAGTTTTTAAATGTCACGTTGACATATATATTAAACCGTTTCTTGTTATACTAAATGATGAAACTAAGTTATAAAATTAACTGACTGGTTCACAGCAGACAGCTTAATTTGTAATTTAAAAAAAGAAGAATTGGATTAAAACGCGCAAAATTCGGAAAAAAGAAAGGTCAGTCTATACATTTCGTTGTAAAATGCACATATATACATTTTGAGCATTAAATAAAATAGAGATTACAAACAGTATTCAATCTCAAATGTTCATTAGACAATACAAAATTTGAGTAGAGCCAACAAGGACCTCCAAAACATCAGAGGTGGATCAGGTACAATGGAGGAGTGAGCATCCCTTGCCGAGTGGTCACACCCACCGTGTGCTCATTGTCATGATCGTGATATAACAGAATATATATTTGTCAGCTCTTTCTCATATATAAAGCGGATTTGATTTGTAGAAGTGAGGTCATGAGAAGACATTTTCTTTAGTCTAGCATACAAAAAACTGTTAGAAATAAGAAAACGACAATTAGCTAAAAATTTACGTTATAAGTATTTTCAGAAATATGACAGTAAGTAATCGCTGTTAAAATATGAACAAAACTTATCAAATTTTAATTTTGCTACTAAATAAAACATCTAGAAGAATATGTTTTACTGACCCATTTTTTTTCATTTAATTTCAAACGTGCACGCGTACCAAGTAAACAATAAGGTATATGGCATAAGGTACTAGTAATATTGCAAAGTTTATAACCTTCGTGATGATTTTAAACAGAAATGTATCAAGGTCACCACAATCATTCTCTATCATCAAATGATAAGAAATATTTTCTAATCTTTTAAAAACAAAACCATGATACTACTTTATTTTATTTTTTGATTTTTAGGTTGTTTTTTTTTTTAAAGTACGATGCATTTTATTATATACAGAGGAGAAATGTAATGCGATATTTTTTTATACATAAAAATATATTTTTTTTAAAGTTGAATTTAATAAGATTAAAGAAATAATTGTTACTACTTTATAATATATCGTGTAATAAATGTAAAAAGGATAAAATAATGAGTGATTTTTTTTTTTGTTCATGCACAAAAATGTTTAAAATATAAGTATAATAAATATAATAATAAAAAATTTTAAGTTTCTTTTTTTATATATATTTTATCGTGTATCTTGTGTACCTTTCAGATAGTCTATCCTATTTCTTGATAAAGACTTACACATTTCATTTTTTACTAGGATAACGTCAGCAAAAATGCTTTCCACGAAAATAAGGGAAAAGACAGTTTTTCCTTAAACTTAAATACCAATAATGTCCAAGAGAAGGTTATCTGCATGCTTCTGCACATTCAACCGCAGGATATGGTAATTAAGAAAATAATGTTATGTTAATGAAAGAGAATAAGTTTGTTATATTAAATCTTACCATAATGAAAATAAACCACAAGGAATAGCCAAACACAACATAAACGGTCCATATCGTACAAATGTATTACCGCCATCTGCCGCTGAGGTAGACAGACATACAAGTTAAAATTTTAGGTGGAGAGAGAAAAAAATGGGGAAAGGGGCGATAGAAGAATTATCATAATTAAACATGGAGACAAGACGGACATGATTAATGAAATTTTTTATCTGTGTGTTCACACAAACCTGTTACACTGGGCCCACGAAGTTAGTCAGAAATGTCATTCGGTATATTTTTTACTCAAAATGAAATGATTTTGCCCTTTATATTATAATATGTCCAAAATGTTATATTAACAAAAAGTCATTGGAGATTTTAAGAAATGATGACATATTTTAGCTAAATGAAAAAAATCAATACACTGTATTTTTTTCTTTCATTATTGTCAATTAAGATGATTGTACTCTTTAAAAAATTAAATGAACTGAAAACTGATAGATGGACATTCATTAATTACAACAATATCTATTTTTAAAAAAAATACATTGTTTGACAGATTGATATTTTTTCTAATCTTAATACTCTTTCTCGTCTTGATTTTCAAAACCTTAATTTGTAAAACAAACTGTCATATCATATATTAAATTTATAATGCATTTTGCGTGTAACCGAATTATGCTGCCTATTTGACTTTTGTGCAGGTAAGAAGAAAAAAATTCTTAATTAGAATTACATCATGGCTTAGTTTTTCCACAATTTTATTTAAAAAGATTTAATTTAGTTAATTCAATTTCATTAAAAGCAAACATAAACTGTTTAGCATATTCTGGAAAGTAGAATTTTCCCATTAAAGACTACTTTGTTTAATTTCTTTTTTTTTATTTTAATTCTCACAAAGACTATTGATGAAAAAATAAACATTTTAAAATAAAATTCAATTTTCCGTTAAAAAGACTGATTTGAATTTGTTTAAAAATCACCAAGATTCTATAAAGAAATACACTTAAGTTGTATCCCTCACTGACACATTTATGATATCTTCGGAGACCAAGTATACCAGTTAACTCTTGGGCACTTATAGTGGACCTTTATTAATTTACCCGTTTATATATTCCTGTAAATCTTAAGTTATTCGAAAACTTTTGCCTGAAAAATAGATTGCTCTGCTGTTACCTTCAACTCGACATTATGTTTATCGACGACGTTTTATCAATTGAAAATATTTGCTTCCACTGACATGCGGACTCGATATATCCTAATAAAATTGAAAAGAAAAAGACAGCACAGTGTGTAGCATGTGATAACAGGATGTTTTACTTACTATAGACGAAAAGAGCTCGACTAAAACTATATTTGTATGGTATGGTAAACGAACTGATGTAATCTTTTCAATAGTCAACTTTCCTTATTTATCTAGTAATATCTCGATTTTACCTGCACTTGAGTTGGTGTTTACATCTTCCAACTCGACAAATAAGTTAATGTTACAAGGATGTCAAAGACTTTAATTTCAGCATTCCCTAAATTCCATGGTCGTTATAAAAAAAGCTTGTTAGTAATGATATCCTTCCAATAGGTCCTATCTTGACTAATTTGTTTTATACCAATTGTTAATCCTTTGTTTTTATCCTGAATTCGACTACGGAATATTCCATCTACCTGATAAACGCTTAGGGTTAGCGGTGGGTATTACCGGTAACCAGGGGATGCTTACTCCTCCAGGACACCTAATCCCGATTCTGGCATTTACCCAGGGGTGTATTTCATGCCCTTTTCAAAGATTTTTATTTTTTACATATATTTTCAATCTGATTAAAATACACATATCTACATAGCGCAAAGCGCAGAGAGCTAAGTAAAGATCTTTTTTTTTTTAAATCAGATTGAGATTTTTTTAAATTGAATACTGTTCGTAATCTTCACCTTTTTGTCGTCATGTATGGTGACATATTTCTTCCACCTATATGCAATATAAATCATGTTAGCATGCAACAAAATAATGTAGACATGCAACATAAATTATGTTAGCATGCAACATAATAATGTAGACATGCAACTTATTTATGTCAACAGATGCAAATTAATTATGTTGACATGCTATTAGGTTACCAGTCCTACAGAAAATTACATTCCAATATTGGTAAATTTACTTGCTCGCGTCTGTATCTGACGCCATACATGCAAGATGCGTCACGATTATGAAGACATGCGACTTATAATTATTTATGTCAACATCCAAGATAATTATGTAGACATGTGACTATTTGTTTGTCAACATGCAAGATAATTATGTAGACATGTGACTATTTGTTTGTCAACATGCAAGATAATTATGTAGACATGTGACTATTTGTTTGTCAACATGCAAGATAATTATGTAGACATGCAGCTTATTTATGTCAACATGCAAAATAATTATTTTAACATGAATTAAGAAGATGAACATTATTCAAGCTCAAAGTCCATTAAACAATACAATATAGGAGTAGAGCAAACATGGACCTCCAAAACATGAGAGGTGGGATCATGTGAGTTAATTATGTCAAATGTGAGATATGCATGTTGACATGCAAATTATTTTCTTCCATACTGAGTATATAATTTGGATGTTGAAACAGTTAACGCATGTTGACATAAAGAAGTCGCATGTTGACATAAATAAGTTGCATATGCTAACATATTTATCTTGCATGTTGATATTAAAAAATTGTAGCATGTCTAATTATATTGCATGTTAGCATAAGTAAGTTGCATGACGACCTTAATATCTTGAATGTTCACACAATTATATTGCATGTTAACATAAATAAGTCGCATGTCAAAATACTTAAGCTGCATCTTGCATGTATGATGTCAGATACTTGTGTTAGGAAGACAATTTACCCATATTTAAATTATATTCTTCAATAAGATTGGTAGATTGCATGCTAACATAATTTTCTTGCATGGAGACATATTTACTTGCATGTAAACATAATTTATCTTGCATATAGGGGGCAGCAATATGCCACTATGAATTTTAAAAACTTAAACAAAATAAAACTTTTAAAGAAATACTACATTTTTTCATTTATTTTAAGCTTTGTGTTAGATTTGTTGCTGAATATTAAAACAGTCTAATTTTACTTGTTTATATTAAACACATAACCCATAGCATTCCTCAAAGACTATATGTCTGTCTCAAAACTTGACTTATTCTCCTAATAAATCTTATTTAATTCATTTTTTAAACAACGAATATTTTCAGGAGTTGTCATGTAAAATATGGAGGACAGGTAAAAATGTAAACTTTTCAGAACAAATTAAGACGACATACAAAACTATCTCACAGAACAAGGATTTTAAAAAAGTCAAAAGTCTGTTTTAAAGCCTACCTTTTTAAAGTTGTTCTCATCAAGGCTTTAATGGAATAAAGTAAATCAATGGATTGAAAGCTGAATTGGTTGCTATTACTTAACAATAATTGTTTTCTTATTTATCATTTATGTCTCGATTTTCAAAGTTCAAAGTATTTTTCCGCTCTCAAGGTAAAATCTTACAAGCTTTCATTTGATGAATTGCGGCAGAGGTTTTGGTTCATGAATGTCAATGCTTGCTTATTCTTATCTGTTTCGTCACAATATGTAGACGATTTGAAACAAATTTCTAACTTTCAGTGTAACTACGAGTGATGATTTTTATGCCAATGCAATCGTTGTTAAAAGATCATTTTTTTTTCTTCAGGTAATATCCTATATACCTATGACTTTGTCTTCATATTGTAGATGTTTGAAATTGGTCAAAACTTGACATACTTTTTGGTTTGGCACAGTGCCGAGAAAAAATCAAAACCGGGCTTCTCATTCACGAATCGTACGATATGATACCGAGATAGGTTTGACCAGTACATTTTTTATATAAAGGTACTATGTATGTTTGAATCCTTCTATTTTTTAAAGAGATACATAATAATTCGACAATCGGGGTGAAAAATGTTTGAATATAATTTAATAAAGGAATGAATTTAATAGGTACCAATTTTATACGGTATAAACTGGGTATAGCTATTAAATTCATTCGATCGTTATAATTATACCCCCCGCTTGAAAAGCGGAAGGATATATAGTAATCGGTATGTCCGTCCGTCGATCCGTCCTTCTGTCTGTTACGCTTTTGGGTACCAATCTCTTATCCGCAACTCTTATCATACCACTGAATAAAATTTGATAAAACTTTCAAAGAATCTTTATTACATATTGCCATTGTGACATCCTATTTTACTTTTTGATCTGACACATATTTTGGGTTTCCCACAACAAACATGGATACTCCAATTATATTCATATGAGAAGCGGAGGGTATCCTTAAGTGAGCTAATTGCTCACACTACCTCTAGTTTAATTTTCATTCATTACGTGAAAGAAAATAAGACGATTGTTCTTAAAAAATGACTTCAATTTGTATAAAATTTTAATGTATTATCAGACGGATTAATACGTTTTTGATGCAAGTCATTGTGACGTAGGCAACCCATTTTATACGACTTCAAGTAATTTTTTATCTCGTATTCAAATACAGCGTTACAAGCAGAATTAAATTATAATGGAATGAAATTACAGGCAAACAAATGATATATTTTGTGAACAAATTATTTTCAAATATAAATTATTATACTGGAGATAAAAAGGTAAGTATATTATATTCAAACGTGAGCTATCAGTATTTCACAAATGTAATTTGTCAATTTACTCGCATTATGTTTCAACTAGATTGTTAGTACAATTTATAATTGAAACAATTGCTGACTGACGTTTTTTTACTTATTGTTAGTCCATTGTTTATACACTGAATTGACGACGGTTTTCCCGTTATTTTCCGATTATGACAAGGAGCACACGGCGGGTGTGACCCCGGTCGGCAGGGGATGCTTACTCCTCCACACCTGATCTCACCTCTGATGTTTAGGAGTTCCGTGTTTGCTCTGCTCCTATTTTGTATTGTTTTATGGACTTTTGATCTTAAATAATGTTCGTTATCTCCATATGTTTGATTCAAGACAAAATATAGCCTTTTCTAGAAAAGTATGTTTTGTTGAGTTTCCTATAACTACTTGCATTGTCAATTTATCAATAGAAATATGTAAATATAGTTTAAAAGCACCA